AGAGTGAGGGCTGCCCTTGAACTCTGGGTGAAAGAGGCAGAATCAAAATTTCCGGAGCCTCTTCCCCCACCACACCTTTGCTCAAGCTGTGACTCCAGCTGAGAGGCCCTCCCCATCACTGCTGGCTGAGACTCCCCAGCACTTCGAAGGCGCCAACCTGATGCATCCTCCCTGCACGGGCCTTTCCCTCCTCCTGGCTCCTCCTGGCCTCCACTGAGTCCCCCTACAAGGGCCACGGGTCAGGCCTACTCTTCCCTGCTCTGCCACCATGAGCTGTGTGACCTCAAGCAAGTCATTTTACCTCTTTGGGCCTCAGTCTCCTCATCTGTAAAATGGAGCAAATACGAGTTTGCAGTTCCCAAGGGCCGTGGTGATGTATAAATCAAATGCAACCGAAAGCACGAAACCTGGCCCACCCACAAAGCGCAACGAACGGCACTATTTTATTACCATTCGTTCACCTTGTTCGCCAGCACCAGCGGGGCACCCCTACCCCCACCCCGGTGTGCTGAGCAACAGGTGATGGGGGAACCCAGAAATGTGGCAGACCTGAGAGCAGCCCTCGAGGAGCTCCCAGACTCAGAGAGGCAGATGCCAAAGGCTGGAACCGTGAGAGACCAGGTGGCATTGGGACTAGGACACGTGAGGGGGTGGAAAGTTGGGGAAACCCCCTCCCCCAGGGAGAGCAGCTTGAAAAGAGGAGAGGGCTGCTGCCCAACTTCCAATCCTGGCTTTGCTATTTGGTAGCTGTGTGACCTTGGGCAAGGGCCTTCATATCTCTGAGCCTCAGTTTCCTCATTTGCGAAATGAAGACAGCCCTTCCCCCTGTCACTACAACCCTGGTGGGAATGTAGCAGAGTAAAGACAAGGACGCAGGTAAAAATGCCTGGCACAGCGCCTGGCACCTCTTTTCCCTGGTGCCTCACAGGGAAGGCAGTCCTGAGCTAGATCTTGAGGGCTGAACAGGAGTTTGCCAGGCAGATGGGACAAAGGGTGCTTCAGGCAGAGGAAACAACATGCACAGGGCAGGGAGGCAGGAACAAGCAAGACACGCTCAGAGATGGTGGCAATGTCCAACCTCCTTAGCCAGGCCTTCGAGGATGCTCAGGGATCAATTCTACTCTCTCCTCTAGAAACTTCTTGCCCTTGCACAGCCCTGAGGCATTCCGCCCACTCCAGTGCTGCAGCCTTCCACAAGCTGTCCCTCTGCAAGAGACTGACTTCCATCACCTCCCATGCCACATGACTTCACTGCTCTTCCTTCGAAGACCTGTCTGAACCTTCCAGTCCCTGTGCCACCACCAGAGCGGGGCACACAGTAGAGCTCTAATGCCTGGGCTGACCCTGGCCCCACCCACTGCCTGCCACATGGCCTGAACTAGGGCTGGCTCCTGGCCACACTCTGGCTCCAGGAAGGCATGGACAAGGCCTTCTCCACCCAGGCCCCAGGCGGGCCCAGCACTGGACCCTGCATGCAGCTGGCACTCAGTGTGGGTCAAAATGGGGAATGAGTGAGTTAAGAAGGTGGATAGTGAGGAGAAGTGATGGGGAGTGACGGGGGGTGATGGGAGGACCCTCCCCATTCTCAACCTGGGGTTAAGGGACATGGTCAAACTGCCTGGGAGTGGGGGCATAAGCTTGGGAAGCTGGAGGGGGGCAGCCAAGGGAGCCCAAAACCACAGGCAGGAAACAAGGCCACATGCAGACTGCAGCCCCACCCCCACCAGCAAAGCGCCCCAACCCGGCTCGCCCACAAAGTGTGTACACACCTGACATCCACCTTCCTCCTAAGGGCCAGCGAGAGAGAAGCAGAGAGAGGGAGAAGCTGAGAGAAGGCTGGAGGGAGCAAGCGCGGGCCAGGAATGGGGATCCCGAGGCTGCAAGCGGGTCGGGGGTCGGCAAGCGCTGCCAAGGGCAGCACGTGGCAGGTGCAGAGCTCTGCCCTGCCCTGTCAGCAGCTCCCGCAGGAGTGCACCCCACTCCACCCTCATCGCGAAGCCCCCACTGCCCCCAATCCTGGACATATGGCCATGGCCTGCACTGGACCCCCATGACCAGCATTGTACCCCGTCACCACTATACTCTAGGCAAGGAAAGAGGAAGGAAAAGGAGGGGAAGGACCCCAAGGCTGGAGGCCCTGGAGATGAACCACGTATCTTCAAGGGCACCCTGCCCTCCACACCCTAACCCACACCCTCTCACAATGGGTGCCCAACATGGGTCCCCCAACCCTTCCAGTGTGGGCTCCTCCCCATACAGCTGGAGACTCTGGCTTAACCAGCTACCCCAGCCCCTCCAGCCCCAGGTCACTAATGAGGGCACCTCTGTGGGCATAGCTTCTGGCTGTAGTCCCTGCTTTTTGTCGTCCTGGATCCTGGGCCCAGTACGGCCCTGACTACATGCCACTCAACAGGGTCTGGGGTCTGAGGCACTGTGCTCTGTGGACTACTTACTGAATCCACATCCCAGGGGCCACAACCACCTCCGCCTCCTCATCACTACCCCCACAAGTCCCCGGATGGTTCCCGGGCCATCAGCCAGCCTTGACACTCAGCTCTGCCTGCTGCCCATCGTGTTGCCCCTGGCTCTGGGAAACTCAGAAGCAGCTCTGGCCCAAGACCAGATCAGGGGATAGGGTCCCAAGGGATGACAAAGAAGGACGGCACTCACGTGTTGTTGACAATCTGGAGCCGCTCCCCTTTCTTGAAGGATAGGTCGGTCTCTGTCCGTGACTCATAGTCATAGAGGGCCACAAAGGTGGTCACTCCCCCTGCAGAGAGGGGTGCTGTGTGTCAGAACAGCCAGGGCCATGGCTGGGGCGAGGGGTGGACAGGAGGGCCCTGCACCCTGGGAGGAGTGGGGGTCTCCCACACACCTTCAGAGCCTAGCCCAGAGGCATGGCACATTCAGGGGTGGGCAGCCCTGCAAGGGTGTGTAGAAGGCATGTGCTTCTCTTCATATGTGAGTGTTCCACTGGGCTTTGGGTGAAGCTGGGTGTGGGCTTATCTGTTTGGTATCTGTCATCCCCATAGAACCAGAAGCCCCCGCTAACAGGCATCTTTGTTCCCAGAGTCTGGCACATAGTAGGTGCTCAAGAAACAACTGTGGGGTGAATGAAGGAAACTGCACCAGAATAGGTCACTCCATTTCTCTCTCTGGGTGCTTCTATGTGTCTGGGGAGATCCAGATGGCAGGTAACTGTCCCCTCAAAGAGGCCCTCCCTGTCCATTTCAATTACAGCCCCTACTACCAACCCCCGCCCTCTCTGTTCCTGCTCACCAGCTACCACCTTCTAACACCCTATAGTTTATACGCCTTGCTTGCTTTCTCTCCTCGCACAGGGTTTTTGTCTGTTTTACACATTTTGTGTCCCCAGCACCAGAAGAGTCTTGGCACACAGTAGAGGTGCCACAAATATTTCTTGAACAAATGAATGGTTGTTCGTGGATCTGCTTGTCTCACCTGAGTATGTGTCCGTGTCTGAGGGGTCTGTGAGCATTTGTGTCTGTGTGTTTGTGTGTTCTCATTGTGTGTATGTGCATTTGTGCCTCTGTGAGTCTGTGATGGCATTTCCTGAGTACCTGTCTGTATCCTGCATGTCTTTGAAGGGGTTCTGACTATATGTGGCTGTGTCTTCATCTGGGAGCATGAGGTTACTTGTGTATATGTGTTTGTATTTGTGTACACCTGCACTGGATGTGTGTCTGTGCCTAGAAAGTGAACATTCACGTGTCTCTTGAGTGTTTCTACGTGTGAAATGTGTCTGAGTATCTATGATGGCTCAACACGTGTATGTGCTGTATGAATGTCTTCGAATGAGTTGCTGACTCTATGTGTGTAACCATGAGTGTGTGGCTCTGTGTGGATGTGTCTGAGTATCTATGATGGCTCAACACGTGTATATGTGCTGTATGAATGTCTTTGAATGAGTTGCTGACTCTATGTATGTAACCATGAGTGTGTGGCTCTGTGTGGGTGTGTCGGGTGAGAGTACACGTGTTTGTGTGTCTCATGTATGTCCATCTCCCAGACCATGTCTGCATCTCTTTCAGCGTCCCTTGTCGGGGGATGCAGTACCTCAAATAGCCAGCAGAGGGCGGAGGGGCGCATCTCGGCGTCGGACTGGCCTCTAGACCAGCTCAGGCTCTTCCTCCTAATCTGCCCCGCCCCCTCTGCCACACACCAGCCCTTGTCCCTGACCCATCTCTGGACTGACCAGAGGAAAGAGTAAAGCCTCAGACATGGTCCCAGTGCTGCCCTGAACAGCTCCCTGGCTCTCTGGGCCTCAGTTTCCCCCTACAGTCCTATATCTCTAGACCCCTTTATACTCTGCGTCTGACTGAGTGTGCGCCACACTTTCCAGTGTACAAAGCCTTTCCCCACCCAGAGCCTCCAGGAAACTGCCAACAGTCCCCAAGATGATGTAACTCATAGACTCTTCCCCTTTAGTGAGCAAAAGAAACAGCAGCCCAGAATGGCCGCATCGCTGCCCCAGGGCACACAGCTCTCAGGCAGAGCAGCCTGGGCTCAGCCGGGAAGGACAAAGGCATTCCAGCACCCCCTGGCCCACTGACCAGCCAGCGGCCCCGCCCTCTGCGGGGAGGTGACGGTATCCGAGGAGTTGAAGCCCCCGAAGAGCTTGGGCTCGGAGGCCGCGGGGCTGAAGGCCGTGTTGGGGCCGCGGTGGCCATCAGCGGAAGCCGGCTTGCTGGGGGTCTGTGAGGTGGGGAAGGCGCCCCCGCCACCACCGTGGGCGTTCTCGGCAGGCTCCAAGCTGCGGCGCCGCTGGCTGGCGTCCTTGGGCTTGCTCTTGTTGCTGCCCATGGTCCTGGCTGGAGATGAGAAAGGACCCTGCGGTGAAGGAGGGACTCTGGGAGCAAGCAGGGCTGCCTGGGCCCCTTAGACAACCCCCACCCCCACCCACTGTACAGATGGGTAAACTGAGGCCCAAGGAGGGATACTAGCCTCTTTCCGTAAGATAGCCTTTCGGAGCCTCAGTTTCATCGGTAAAATGGGAATAATGATGGCATCCATGGCCAAGCACAGAAGAGCTCATTTAACAGCCCTAACCTCTCCCGCTCGAGTCACTGTTTCTGTCCCTCATGAGCAGGGGCAGTATCTGAGTCATGTCTATATTCCAAGCACTTAACACATAGGAGAGGGCTCACTGAGGGTTTGTTGAGTGAATATATGACTGACTGAAATTGTCTAACACCAGAGAAAAGGTGCTAAAAGTTGCAACCAAGGCAGGGATACAGCAAGAGGTTGGAAGAAGTGGTTGCTGGGAGCTCAATATTGTCACAGGGCCTTTACACATGCTATTCCTCTGCCAGAATGTTCTTCCCTAACTACTTCACCAGGGTAAATCATGCCTCCTTGAGTTCTCAGCTCAAAAGTCACCTCCTTGCGAAGTGTTCCCCAAATCCTTTCACCAGTTTAAGTGTCCTTGACTTTTGTTGCCTCTCCTTGATAATATGTGACCTAGTTTTTATTTTTATTTTTTTATTTGTGTGATTATATGATTATTACCATGGGCTTTTATCTGTCTAGTTCACTGCTGTGCTCCCAGTACCCAGCAAAGGGTGGCACACAGTAGGTAGTCAATAAACAGCTGAATGAATGAGTAACTATTGAAGAGTTGAGAATTCTGAACCAGAAATGTGTGAGGTCTAGAGACTGGAAAACACAGAGAAAACCAAGCTGAAAACTCCCCAGTGACATCTAAGGCCCGGCCACTCCCTTTTTGCCTCCCACTTCCCCATACTCAGGTCCTGGCTGGCTAAGGTCTCCCCAGCCATCCTGGCTGTTTCTCCCCACTCCCTCATTATGGCTTCCCTAATGAGTCACCACCTCACCTGTGGAAGGAGCTGTCCCAGAGGACCTGGGAAGCAGCCTGGGGTCTCAGCACGAACACGAGGTGTGGAATCAGGGGTCGTGGACTAGAGGCCCTGCTCCACTTCTTCCCACTGTATGACCCTAGGCAAATCACTTCCCCTCTCTGGTCCTCAGCATCCTCATCTGCAAAGGAGGGATAAAACAGACTTCTCAGGGCTGTTGTGAGGATATGATTAGAAAGAGAAATCATAATGGCTCTGACTCTTAGATCACAATTTATCAGACTCTGACTCAAACAGGCCCAATGCTCAGAGCTTCCCAGATCTTCATCCCTCGCAAAGCATTTTATAAAAGAGAGCAAGGCCGGGCAGGGCACAGCTGTTAAGGGTAGGCTCTGAAGCCAGACTCCCCGGCTCAGATCCTGGCTCTGTTCCTCATCAGCTGTGACCTCAGGAAAGTGACTTAACTTCTCTCTGCACCCTGTTTCTTCATCTGGAAATGATGGGGTCATTGTAATAACTAAATGGGTCAAGGTAGAGTGCCAAGAACACAGCAGGTCACTCTGCCACATGAGCTTTCACTGAGCTTGTGTGACTCTGGACACACTGGGGAGGTGGGTTCCGACTATTCTCCAGGGTAGGCGGTAGGCCCCGGAATCAGTCCAGAATTTTCCCTGGGAACCTGCGGATGGGGAAAAGTCCCCTTGACTGGTTGGAGCCTCAGGCAAGATTATTAGCCCTGAGCACCAAGCCCAGCTCTGTGACCCCACTCCCTATGTGAACCTGAGCCAGTCCCTGTACCCTCTGGGCCTCAGGCTACTGGCAGCCACATGGGGGTGTGGCCTGCATGCTCCCTGGGAAAAATCCAGCTCAGAGAATATAGGGCTGGGGAGGCCCTGGGGAGACCTGCTCAGTAGCCCAAAGGATCACTGGGGCCTCCCGAGGGACAGGCCAACAGGCCTAGGGACAAGGAAGGCCATGTCCTATGGCAACTCAATCATTGAGGTCACAGTGCACATCAGCACCCATATAATTGGTGTCCCGTGGGACCTGATGACCTGGTTACCCACAGCCTCAGGCTTGATGCAGGCTGAGCCCCTAGAACTATACCGCCCACCCACTTGCTCCCTAGTACAGCATTCATAGCAGCAAGCCCTCTGCTAGTTACTACAAGGGGACACAGAGATGAACTGACCACCAGGTCCTTCCTCAGAGGGCACATGCTTTAATAGGGGACTTGCTTGTGGAACTTTGAGAGGAAATAACAATTATAAAATTTTTTAATTTTTTAAAAATGTTTCCTAAGGCCTGAACTTTCTTTCGAACAACTCAATGATGAAGAGTGAGCTCCCTGTCACTGGAGGTAACCAAGGACAGGAGAAATGGTACTTGGCTGATGTGCCATGGAGTGAGAGGGAGAGCCAGGGCTGAACCTTGAAGGCCCTTCCAGCACCAAAAGGATGCACGTGCTCTCTTTGGAATGGGGCAAAGGAAAAAAGACGGCTCCTGGACTCCTAAGTTTTTCCACTGACCAAGAAGACCACTCCCCACTGGAGCACTCAGAAAAAGCATAAGAGGGCCTTCAAGACCAGGCCAGCGTGGCCCAGGGCCTCTGATTGCAATGCTTGCCAGTTGAAGGGGTTCGATTTTTTTGTGAGGATTTTTTGGTCCTTGTGGTTGATTCTAATTACACAAGTAACAGTGTCTGTGGAGAGGCAGGCGGGTTGCAGTTGAGAGCCAGAGTCCAGGAGCAGACTACCTGTGTCCGGATCCCAGCCCCCCGACCCCGGCATGGAACTCTGCCTCAGTTTCCTCCTCTGTCAGTTCGGGATAGCAACAGTACCAGGCCATAGTGCCGCTGGGAGAATCGGCAAGGAGAGAGCACAGAACGTGCTTAGCACAATGAGGCACACTGTCAGTCCCGCCTGTAGGGGACAAGCACCTGGCCGTGGTGCATTTCCTTCATGCACCATATGAATGTAGGACTGTAAACCTGGATCCATCTAGTGCCCTGGACTGTGAGCTCCTTGCGAGCAGGACCGGATTGGATCCATCTCCATATCCCAGTAAGCAGAACACGCCTGACGCCTACAGGTACTATGGAAATACTTGCAGAAGAGACAAAAGACTCAATGAGCACAGGCATATGATTTGCATCGGGCTTTGTTCCTGCGATGACACATCATAGAGACCAAGTACCACTCGGCGATATTCAAACACTCCCAGAGGCTGGACCTTGTACTGGACCCTGCTCTAAGCACCTGGCAGATATTGACTCATCAAACTCCCATGATAATCTAGGAGGTCGATACTAATAGGGTCCTATTTTACTGATGAGGAAACTGAGACACAGAGAGCTTAAGGAACTTGCCTGAGTTACACTGCCAGGGTGACAATGAAAAGAACTGGGGTCAGGGAACCACACTGGCAGGCAGGAATTAGAGGCTGCTCTTGGGGTCCACCTCCTGCCCTCAGGACCTCTCTCTCATGGAACAGCCAGATGCCCTTGGTGGACGGGGCCTGAGTGGATAAGGCAGCCCAGCCCTCTTCCTAGAGAAAGCTGAAAGTTTCAGGCTTTGACAAAGCAGAGTGTGTCTGAGGAAGGACAGGCACATTTAGGGTGGGGTCTAGTCTCCGTGCTGCTGCTATCCTGCTGTGTGACCTTGGGAGAGCCGGCCCTCCTGGTAGGACCCTGTCTCAGAGCCCAAACGCCAAGTCACCATGAGTTGCCCACTTAAGAGCGGCAGACCTCCCACATCTCTTCCACCACATGCACACTCCGAGGCAGAGATAGATCCTAGAGGCCCGTGGGGAAGTGGTGGGGGCTCTGTACTGGGGGTGCCAGAGGTTCCCAAAGGAAGGTGGCCCCTTTCCTCTGGGAAACCACCCCCACCACAGGCTCCGGAGAGAGGGCCTGCACTATCGCTACCCTTGAGAGGTACCAGGATGCGGCCCAACGGCACTTCCTCTACAGTGCTCCCCCTCAGTCCCCCCCAATACGTCAGTCTCAGCAGGTCCCAACCTGATCTGGCATCTCCCCTTGAGGCCGCCCCCCACCCCTTGTCACTGTCTCGGGTCTGGTTCTCCCTTCCTCTCCCACCAATCTTCCTCAAATGCATCCTCCCCGCACCCCACTTCCATTCCCTCAGGCCAGGCCCCTGTCATCCCGGTCCGGGGGTAGCATGGGTGACCCCTCCAGTGCACTCTCCTCCCAGCAGAGGCATCTCTATGAACCATCTCTATAAATGGGGTCCTCCTCTGCTCAACCCTCCCCCTGGAAACCCAGCAGTGCTCATCAGAGGGGTGCAGGACCTAGAAATGATGGTCCATTCACCAAGCGGACAGTTGTGCAGCTGATCAAACAGAACGAGAGCCCCGTGCGGCCTGAGATGCTCATGACACGCTGGTAAGTGAAAGGAGGAAGATGGCAGCATAGAATGTCCTCTGAGCCTCTGGGGCTTCCGTTTCCTCATCTGGAAAATGGGAGCATTAATGCTGCTTTCGTCACAGGGTCAGCGGAAGGACTAAATGAGATCGCGCATGCAAGGGGCTTAGTGGTACCTGGCACGTAGTACACATGAACTACAATTATTTCTGTAAAGAAAATTAGCATGTATATGAGTATGTGTATATGCACCCATGTGCACCCATGTGCTGTAGAGGTTTAGAGAAAGTTCTGGAAAAATTCTAAATTCTTCACAATGTTACACCCAAAAGGTGTGGAATAGGGAGAGGAAATTCCCTTTTTTTTACATGCTCTATCACTTGACATTTGAAAATTACTTGTCATAACTTTTTCTTAATGAGAATTTTTTTTAAATATTCAAGAGCTTCCCGTGATCTACCTCTGGATGAGGCTGAAGCCCCTCACCTGGGTCCACCCAGCCCTGCAGAGCTGGTGCCACCACCATCCCCCACGGCTTCCCCACGGAGGGCACCACACTCGCTCCACGCTCGCTCTCGCCTCCTGGCCTTTGCACAGGCTGTGCCCCTCCTCCAGGCACATAGATGCTCACGACATCCAGAAGAGTCCAGAAAAGGCTGTTGTTCAGTCATGACACACCCATTCCTTCCTTCCAGACGCTGACGAATGTCACTTCCACCTCTTCTAAGGGTGGAGGGGAGGCCAGGAGCTTAGGAGTCGAGAGTGAAGACTCCAGACAGGGTTCAAATCCTGGCTCCAGTACGTACTAGTTAAATCTCCCTGAGCAAGTTACTTCACCTCACAGTGTCCTTATCTTTAAAATGGGGATTATAGTAAACCTAACATCTGAGAATTAAGTGAGAGAGTCATGTGCCAGGCACAGAGTAAGCGCTCAATAAACAGCACACACTGTTATTTGCGATTGTTATTATCATGACAGGCAATAAGAGGAGCCATGCGAGAGGCAGCAGGAGTCAGGTGGCAGGGCTTTGAATGCTAAGCACAGAGCTGAGACCTTCACATGCAGTTGATACTCCATTGTCCTGCCAGTATAACGAAGTAGGGACTATAGCTGTGCCCACTTTACAGATGGGCCCGAGGTTCAGAGAAGCCAGAACCTTGTCTGAGGCCACATAGCTAGTGAGGGCAGCAGAGCTGGGATGCTCGAGGTTCAGGAGAGTGGCATCAGAACACACCTCTGGTGCACCCCCCTCATTGTGCTGACAGCCCCCACTGCCCCAGGCACTTCCACCACTCCACTAACCCTGACATCATAATCCATATCTCTGGACCCTCCAACGGAAAAAAGGGAAGTTAACAGGTAATACTCCCAAATCAGCAATGTAGCTATAGCAGTAAAAAAAAATCAAAGAAAGCCTTAGCATTGGAAAAATATCAATTCTTCCTAAATAATTCTAAAAACTGAATATGATCCCAATAAAAACCCTAAAAGGATTTTTTTTTAAAAACAAATCAAGTCAATTTTAACGTTTATAAGTAAATGTATATGAGTAGCCAGGGAAATCTTAATAAGAGTAATGAGAGAGAAATAGCCCAACCAGATAGTAAAAATTACTATAAAATCACAGTAATTAAAATTGTATGACATCAGCACAAAAACAGACGAATCAACAGAACAGAACAGAGGGTCCAAAAATTGTCCCCAAACATACAGGAATTTAATATATAATGAAGAAAGCATTTCATACTAGTAAGGAAAAGGTAGACTATCTTTAAGACAGAGTTGGGACGAATGATCTACCAACAAGAAACAAAGTTGAATCTCAATCCCACTCCATGTGCCTATAAATTTCAGATCAATCAGATTTAAATCACACAAAAATAAAACCATAAGCTCTAAAAAGGGGAGGGGAGAATAAATGTTCTAATCTCAGAATGGGAAAAGCATTTTTAAACATGTCACAAAACTTAAGAATCGTTCTTAAAATGATAAACAATCTACATAAAAATCTAAAATGTCTGCATAGCTCAATAAACATTATAAACAAATTCAAAAGACAAACAATAAACTAAAAAAAAAAAATTCGTAACCCATCTGATAGACAAGGGTTTTCTTTCTTTTACTACATAATGAGCTACCACAAAATAAGAAAAAATAACCAGATAGTTTACAGCAAACCAAATGGCTCTTAAACATGTAACAAGATGCTCAACCATACTTATAAAATTAATGCAATTTAAAACTACACAAGCTACCCAACCACAGCAGACTACATTCTTCGCAAGTGCACATGGAACATTCTCCAGGATAGACCATGCTAACCCATAAAACAAGCCTCAATAAACTTAAAAGGAGTGAAATCAAAGTATGTTTCAGACCATCACAGAAAGAATTAAAAAATCAATAACAGAAAGAAATGTGGAAAATTACAAATGTGCAAAAATTGATACACTTCTCAATAACCAAGGAGTCAAAGAAGAAATCACCAAAAAAAAGTAGAAAATACTGAGATGAACGAAAATGAAGACAATATATCAAAATGTTTGAATGAAAATTATATGACTGTATTAACCAATGTTACCCCAATCAACTTAATAAAAATAAAAAAGAAATTTAAAAAAAGAAATGCTTATAAAAAAATGTATGGGCTGCAGTAGAGGAGAGCTTAAAGGAAAATCTACAGCCAGTAAATGCCTATATTAAAAAAGAAAGATCTCAAATTCTAACCTTCCATCTTAAGACACTAGCAACAGAAGAGCAAACTAACCCTAAAGCAATAAAAGGAAAGGAAATAAAGATTAGAGCAGAAATCAATTAAATAGAAAATAAAGAACGATAGAGAAAAATCAACAAAACCAAAAGTTAGTTCTTTGAAAAAAAATCAACAAAATTGACAAACCCTTAGAAAGACTGACCAAGAGAAGACTCAAATTACTAAAATCAGAAATTAAAGAGAGGATAATAACACTAACCTTACAGAAATAAAGACTATAGGAGAACGCTATGAACAATGTTACACCAACAAATCAGATAACTTGGATGAAACAAATAAATTCCTCGAAAAACACAAACTACTGAAACTAATACAGAAAATCTGAGTAAAATTAAAACAAGAGATTGAATTAGTAATTTTAAAGTTCTCACAAAGAAAATCCAGGCCCAAATGGCTACACCGGTGAATTCTACTGAACATTTAAAGAATTAATACCAGTTCTTGACTAGAGAACACTTCCCAACTCGTTCCATAAAGCCAGTATTAACCTAAGACCCAAACCAGACAAAGATATCATAAGAAAAGAAAACTACAAAACTATATGTCTTAGGAATATAAGATGTAAAAATCTTCAACAAAATACTAGCAAACTGGATCCAGTAACATATAAAAAGAATTATACATCATGACCAAGTGAGATTTACCCCAAAATACAAGGTTGGTTTAACTTCTGAAAATCAATTCATGTAACAGACCATATCAATAGAATGAAGTACAAAAACCACATAATAATCTCAATAGATACAAAAAAAAGTATCTGACAAAATTCAACACCCTTTCATGACAAAACACTCAATGAACTAGAAGCAGGAGAGAATTTCCTCAACCTGATAACAGGCATCTAACTCGGTGATGAAAGACTGAAAGCTTTACCCTAAGATCAGGAACAAGACAATGATGTCTCCTCTCACCACTTCTATTCAATACTGTACTGAAGGTTCCAGCCAGGGTAAAAGGGAAGAAGACGAAATAAAAAGCACCTAGATTAGAAAGGAAGAAGTAAAACTATCCCTATTTGCAGATGACATGATTTTGTATATAGAAGTTCCTAGGGATTCCACTAAAAAATTATTAGAAACTAATAACAAATTCAGCAAGGTTGCAAGTTATAAGATCAATATATAAAAGTATATGTAAATAAATTGTTTTTCTATACACTAGCAATAAACAATCTAAAAATAAAATTAAGAAAACAACTTACAATATCAAAAGAATACTTACGAATAAGATTAACAAAGAAATGCAAAACTTAAGCTCTGGAAACTACAAAAATTGTTGAAAGAAATTAAAGATCTAAATAAATGGAAAGACATCCCATGCTCATGGATTGGAAGACTAAACATTGTTAAGATGGCAATACTCTCCAAATTGATCTACAGATTCAACACAATCCCTATCGAAATCCCAGCTAGGCTCTTTGCAAAAATTGACAAAATGCTCCTAAAATTCATATGGCATGTCAAAAGACCCAGAACAGCCAAAGCAATCTTAAACTAGAAAAACAAAGTTTGAGGGCTCATACCTCTCAATTACAAAACTTGCTGCAAAGCTCCAGTAATCAATACTGTGTGGTACTGGGATGAGGACAGACTTATAAATCAGTGAGACAGAACCGAGAGTCCAGAAACAAACCCTCACGTTTATGGTCAGTTTATGTTCAACAAGGATGCCAAAACGATTCGGCGGAGAAAGAACAAACAGTCTTTTCAGCAAATGGTACAGGAACGACTGGATGTACACATACAAAACAAGGAAGTTGGATACCTTCCTCACACCTTAACATAAAATGGATCACACACCTAAATACACAAGGTAAAACTTTTTAAATTTTTATAAGAAAACATAGGCATAAATTTCATAACCTTGGATCACAACGGTTTCTTAGGTACGACACCTAGCGCACAAGCAAGGAAAGAAAAGATAAACTAGACTTCACCGACTTTTAAAACTTTTATGTCCCAGAGGACACCAACAAGAATAAGAAGAATGCACAGAATGGGAGAAAACATTTGTATACCATATATCTGATAAGGGACTTGTATCCAGAATATACAAGAAACTCTTATAGCTCAACGACAAAAAGACAAATCACCCAATTAAAAAATAGGCAAAGTTTAAAAATAGGTAAATAAATAAATAATAAAAAATGGGCAAAGGGTCTGAATAGATACTTCTCCAGAGAAGATACACCAATGGCCAATAGCTGCATTAGTCATCAGGGAAATGCCAATCAAAACCACAATGAGATGCCACTTCACACCCACTAGGACAGCTACAATTAAGACAGAAAACAAGAAGTTGTTGGCAAGGATGCGGAGAAACTGAACACTTTATACGTTGCTGGTGGAAATGTAAAATGGTGCAGCTGTTTTGGAAAATGGTCTGGCAGTTCCTCAAAAATTTAAGCATGGAATTACCATATGACCCAGACATTCCGCTCTTAGGTATATACCCAAAAGACAAAAGAAGAAGATATCCACATAAAAACTTGTACACGAATGAATGTTCATAGCAGCATTATTTATACTAGCCAAAAAGTGGAAACAACCATATGTCCATCAATTGATGAATGGGTAAATAAAATGTGATACATCAATATACTAGAATATTATTTGGCAAGAAAAAGGAATGAAGTACTGATACACGCGACGCATGGATGAACCTTGACAACATTATGCTAAGTGAAAGAAGCTGAACACAAACCACGTATTGTCAGATTCCACTGGTATGAAATGTCTAGAAGAGGCAAATCTATAGAAACGAAAGTAGATTAGTTGTTGCCTGAGGCTGAGGGAAGAAGGTTTCGGGGGGGAAATGCAAATGCTCTAAAACTGAGTGGTAAGGGTTGCAAACTATGAATATACTAAAAGCTGTTGAATTGTATACTTTAAATGAGTGAATTATATGATATGTAAATTATATTTCAATAAAACTGTGATCTTTGAAAAAATAAATAATAACTACGCCAATTAGATTGGCGAAGATCCCAAAACTCTATAGCAACCTGTGTTGGTGAACCAGAGGGTGTGGTATGAGGACATCTCAACGCAACCTCCTGAATGACAATCTGGCAATGTCTATCAAACTGACAACAGCACACACCCTCCAACCCTGCAATCTGGGATTAATCCTACAAATATCCTCGTACATGAACTCTAAGCATAGGTTAGAGGATAGTCCTTGTGGAATTGTCTATAATAAGCCAAGACTGGAAACAACCAGTGTATTCTTCACTAATTAAACAAAGCCTGGTCTCCGTCCATACTGTGAATACTATGCAACCCCGAAAAAGAATGCAGCAGCACAAAATGATCTCCAAGTACGGTGTCAGAGAAAACAGTCAGGTGTAGCACGGAGTATACCATGTGCCACCATTTGTTTTTGTTTTTTTTTTTTTTAATTTTTCTAACATATGTTTATATGCCTGCATCTCCCTGGGACACATCAAAAACACCCCTCAGTGGCTGTCTCTGTCAAAGAAATCTGGGTACAGGTTAGAATTATTTTTCACTGTGTGTGTGTGTTAATGTTTTTTCTTTCCTTTTTAAGAAAGAACACAGGCTTACCTGATTTCAAATCCTGGCTCGCTCTCTCATAGCTGGGCAAGTCACTTCGCTTCTCTGAGACTTTGAGTTCTGTAAAGGGAGAGATAATAATAACATCTACCGTACAAGGTTGTTGTGAAGGATTCAATGAGAAAAGGCATGCATAGGACTCCCCACCATGCCTGGCTCCTAGTAAATGCATGTCTTTGCTGGTTATTAATATGTTACTATGCACAACAAGATGGACTGGAACAGGTGTCACCAGAGAGCCCCAGACCAGGTGTTCAGAGCACCTCCTGAGAAAGGCTTCCTGGGAGAGGCAGCATTTGTAAAGGGCTTCAAGGACAAGGAGTTCCACAGAGAGATGATTAGGGATGGTGTTCCTGGTAAAAGGAGCTATGCAAGCACAGGCCTGGGAGTAGGAAAGCCCTGAGTAGTCGCTCAATCACTGTGCATTTGTTGGCTCCTTTAACAAAGCTTAGCTGAGTACCTGCTATGTGCCAGGCACTGTAGTAGGAAAGGTAGACGAAAGCCAAAGTGGCTGGACCAGCCAAGGGAGAAATTCCAGACAGTTCAGTGATAAGGACAACAAGGGGCTGGGGGGCACGGCCTCACCCAGGTCCAAGTGCTCATAAAGCAAACCAGGAAACGGAAGCTCAGAGAGGGCAAGGAGCTGCCTAAGGTCACACATCAGGTTCTCGACTTCTGAAAACAGCCTCTCTCAGCTCTGCCCGCTCCTCCCACAAGCCTGGAGAAGAGAAAGCCCACAGGGGCCCTCCTGGTGTGCATTTAGCAGAAGGTGGATACAGATGCTATCTAAACGGGAGACAAAGAGGAAGAACAAATGGTTTTCAGATGACAACAGTGGCTAGTTGATTGGTACAGAGACTCCTGTGTGCCAGGTACCATGCTAAGAAGTGCACTACATGCACGAGCCCTGGTGAACCCACTGCAGCCCTCTATATTCAGCCCCTTTTTGCTGATGAGGAAACTGAGGCACAGAGGTCAAGTTGATTGCCTAAGGTCACGCAGCTCATAAGAGACAAATTCAGCAGGCAGATTCAGATTGTCTGGGCTCTGCAATCTCATGCCCCAGGGTCCATCCCCCGAGGGAGCCACCTGCAGGGCCTAGATCAGCAATTGTACCCTTTCTCAGAAGAGCCCGAAGTAGAAGTTGCTCTCAGCCAGTGCAGGGATGTGTCCTGATAACAGCCGCCCAACCTGGAAGAGAAGGTGGTGGAGACTGTGGCAGGAATGTGTGGAGGTAAAGGAGGGAGGAGGCAGTGGAGAGGGCACAGCCCACTGGCAGCCATCCATCCTACCTCTGGAGAGAGGGGAGCAGAAAGGCTCCATCAGGCACCTGCCTGAGCCACGTAGGGTATAGCATCGTGGTTAGGGGTACCCCACTGTGGCCCAGAGAAAGACTCTGGGCAAGTCGATTAAAGCCTCCTTCAGTACCATGGAGACGTCCATAGTCATCCCCAGGCAGTTGCAAAGGCCAATGAGCTAACCCATGCCAAGCCCTGGGCACATGGGCCACGCTTGGTAAATGGGCCTTTACTATTGCTCCTAACATTATTATTTCCATTGTCACTGTTCAGCCCTCCAGTTCTCACCAGGACCCTGCTACACAGGGATGATCAGCCCCATCTTTCAGAGGAAGAGACAGAGAGAGGCTCAAAGAAGCTAAGTCCGGTGCCCAGACCACCAACCAAGACGGCAGAGGGCCAGCTGGGGATCCTGGCTCTCCCAGGCCCAAGCTATTGTCAGGCCCTCTCCCCAAGGCCACTGGTCCCAGCTGGGCTCTCGCTGAGAGTCCTCACACCAGGAACTATGCAGGTTCCCTTGGCCAGTCCATTTTCCACAAGGAGAAATAAAGGCCAGGACAGGGTGAGTGGCTGGCCCAAGGCCACATAGCCCAAGAAGGACCACTGATAGAGTGAACACGTAAACACTCTGAACCTCCAAGGCTGGGTCCCCTACCGATGTTCCCTTCCTCCTCGCCACAGCTCTGTGGGGCAGGTACCACCAGCACTGGCCCTGTCCACAGAGGATGAAGCTGAGACTGGAGCAGCGTGGGAGATGGTGCTGGTCCAATACACCCATCGCACAGGTGGGGCTGCGTCCTCTTCCTGCCTCCCTGCGACCTCCCACACTAGAACGTGAGTTCTCCATGGACAGGAATCTTGACCTGATTGCCTTTTCTTCCTTCAGAATCTCAAAAGAATTGCCTGCTCAACTAGGGAGTTTTTCTTCAATGGTTTCTGAATATAGAAAGGATTCCTGCCTCAGAGTGAAGGAATATGAATAATGACGGTAGTAATAGCTAATTATTTCTTGAGCACCTACTGTGTGCCATTCCTATCACCCCATTTCACAGATAGGGAAACTGAAATACAGACAGGTTAAATGATGTGATTAAAATCCCACTTCTCGGCAGCTGAGTGACAAGTCCCTCCCACTCTGAGCTTCTCCCTAAAGAGAGTTGCCAGCCAGGGCCACAGGGAAGGGCCCAAGGAAGAAGCCTGTGGCTGGGCTCTTCTTGGTAGTCCCCTCCCCAGAACTCAACGCTGTGGGCTGCTCTAGTGCAGGCTGGTGGATGGAATGGGGTATACTGATGAGGATGTGGAGACCCACACTTTTCTCCCTCACATCATCCTACCTGGGGTTCATGTCACCCCTTCAGTGCTCCCAACAGCCCTGGAGCAAGCTGTGACCACATTCATTTTATACATGAGGATATGGGGGCTCCAGAAAGCTGCCCCAGCCAGGAAGTGGTCCCCAGGAGAGCCAGGATGCCAATCCAGATCCCAGTGGTACCAAAACCTATCCTCTCTCCACTGTATCTGCAAGAAGGCTTAAAAACAGCCCAGGAGGAAGTGGGCATGGTACATGCAAAGGCCGTAAGGCAGGAAGGTCAGCTATATAGGAATTTATCGAGTGAGAGGTCTGGACTGAGTGGGCCCAGCCTAACTGGGTCACTGCTGGCCTATGGCGCAGGCATGAGGTCTGAGAGCGGGGTGTCTAGCCCCGGGTCACATAGCAAGGCGGAGGCCAGCCCTCAAATGAGAGTGTAGGCACTGGGACTAAAGATAAGATTCTTAGAGCACCAGGACCAAGAGTGCTGGGCTGAAATGGAGCAGGAAGAGGAGATACTGGCCACAAACGACAC